CCTGCAGACAGGTTCCTAGATGTCGGTCACTGAAACTGCAGCTCAGCTCAGACCATGCATCATCCTGTCTATGTGTAGAGCCTGTGCCCCCAGAGAGTCACCAATAAATACAAACGCCTCAGTGCCCAGGAATTGGCACCATGACCCTTGGGAGGGAATGGAGATGGTGCTTTTGATGGGTCCTCATCTGATGAGCAAGAGAGGCTGCGAGCTCACGCGGCTGGGGCAGTGGTCTGGTTCACTCCACAAAGCCTGGCCCTGCCAGCTGGCACTGCCCACCAATCACGGGTAGCTGCTGGTGCCAGGCAAAGGCAGATTTGTGCTTAAGTGGGTCTGAGGGGCTCCCTCCTCAAGGGTGAAGTCCCTGCAGCTAACTAAAGCCACAGTCATCTCATCAGTGCCCCTTCTGGAACCCACAGGGGAGACATTGGGATCAGAGGCCAAAGGTTCAAGCCTTTTCTGGTTTATACTGAGATCAATCTGCAGGTCAAATTCACCCGAATTAAGCCGGGGACCCCTTCTGAGCAATGATATTGGCTGGGTGTACGACTTCCACTCAGCACTTGGCTTTGCTCTGCTGCAAAGTGGGACAGCACTGGCTTTGCCTGTAATGAAGTAAAGATCAGGTGAGAAGAGCTAGGCAGCAAGGCTGCGCCAGTGGGGCTGGTGTGGGGACTCGGGTGTGGCCTGCAGGCTGCTGGAGCCCGGAGTGGAGGCAGACAGCTTCAGACTCCCAGAGCCAGGCAGGACAAGCCCGTTCTGAGCCAACAGGGAGGGGGAAGCCGGATAAAAATCTCCCAAGTAAAAGCGCAGGAAAGAAAGTAGGATGGAAACGGGCACCCGTCCCATAACACCAATTAAGGAGCCCAGTGGTAAAGGGCGGGAGAGTTCAACCAGCCTGGCCACGCAGATAGAGAGAGGTTCAGGATCTGCCTTCCAAGGGCCCACAGACAGGCTCTGGCTTTTATAGAAAAGGGGAACAAAGGCAAGGGTTGGGGTGTGCACAGCTGGGGGTGCACAGCTGGCAGAGAAGGTGAGCTGGATCTGGTTGATCTATCTCAGGACTATCAGTCTCTCGGGACTGGTCCTTCAAGGTCCTGGGGGAGCAACGGTTGCTTCAGGGGAAGTTGCTTTGGGGCAGCCAATTGCTGCCGCTTGGAGAGGTGACCTCCTCCCAGGATGGCCTGCGAGGCGCCGCTTCCCTGCACGTTTAGGACAGTGACTGCAGACTTCCTGGACGCTCTTGCAACTAGATATTACAAAAATGGACGATTGGCTGCCTCCGCCACCCTAATCCTTGTCTCCGCATCTTCCACCTTGTAATGAGCCCGGCCGGTGAACCGACCCCGGCACTGCACACGTTCTAACGCGATGGGTGCAGCGCCGCCGGAGCAGGGATCCGACCCCAAATTCCAACGCAATCCAAGCTTCCTCCCAGCCTGTAGGTCCCCATTTCAAGAGGAGAAAGTACTTCTCCAAAGCTACAAGGCCCAAGAATGACAAAGCCGGGCTGGACTTTGCACACACACACACACACACACACACACACGGAGAGAATCACGCTCCTCTAGATGCTACCTCTTAACCCAGCCATATTTGTCTTATCATCACGGCCCACGCTGTTGACATTTCAATCGGGGACGTCTCCCCCCAATACCCCCGAAAGGAAGGTGCCCAGCACAGCACAGGGTGGAAGGACGAAGGAAACCCCCCCTCCCCGGCCTCCTCCCCAGAGAGCCGGGAGTCGGCTTGGTCTTTTCCTCAGGTTCGCAACC